CAAGGAGCTACCACACTATGATGCGTGGTGCAGCAGCCCTGCGCCATGATGTGTGGCGCGTCAGGCCCGCCGCGCCATGACGGGTTGCGCGTCAGACCTGCCATGTCAGCGGTCGCCACAACCGTTGACTAACCCCTGCCACGCCTCCATGCATGGCGCGACAGCATGAATTAGCCACGCCGTGCAAACAGGTGCGTCCAAATGTGTTAGTTTTAAAAATAGTTTAAAAAATGTGTTAAAAAATCGCCCCCGATGGCTACATGCATATGGCTGCGTCCCCCAGCGCATGGCACAGAGCTCGAGCGTGCGTGGCGGTGGAGCGGCGGCCTCCCTGCCCGGTCCCTGACAACAGCATGTTGGCCGTAGTGGTGGCCCATCGCACGGTCAGTCTCCCCCCTCCCTGCACTCGTGTTTGCAAATGAACGAGCTAGGTGGGCTAGGTGGCTACACATGCATGCGAAAAATCCACTCTTTGTTTTATCACCAAACCAATCAAGCAACGAGTCGCGCGGAGCGAGGAGCGCGCGCCCCCACGGCGCAGGCTTTATACGCGCCCCATAGCCCATGAGCATCGACGGTATTCCTAGAGACGAGCTCGCTCGACGTGCCCCGCAGCCCATGAGCGCCGCAACCGTTACCGGAGATGAACTCATTGGCGTTAGGTTTCCGGGTTTTAGGGGCCTCCATCTTCACCGGGCTTAGAAAGGAGGTCGGGGTAGGTAGGCCAGCCCGGTGGTGGGGATGGGAGAGAGGTCGGCGAGACAGAGGCGGTGGTGACACCACTGGAGCAGGCGGCAGAGAAGGTGGCTAGGTGGGATTGGGACGGGGGAGACCATGGCCACGGCAGAGGGGGGAAGAAGGAGGTCACCGTGGATGTGGTACGGTCTTGCCAAAGCTCCACGACCGCGGCCACGTACTACTACAGAAAATCTTTTGCAGAGCGTTTGCATTTGAGGCTCGGAGGCGGGTGGCCTGGTTGCCCGCCACAGTTATTCGAGGCAGGGCAACCAGGCCAGCAACCACCTCGGTTAATGTTTAACCGAGGCGGGCATTGTAAGATAACCGCCTTAGTTAATGCCGATTAACCGAGGCGGTCGTTCTAACGCAACCGCCTCGGTTAATACATTTTCAAAGGCGGGCACGCTATATGGCCCGCCTTGGAAAATAGTGGCCCAGACAGCCCATATCTTCGTCGGTGCGCCCTCCCTCTCTTTCCCCCGAGCGTGTGTGGCGCTCCATCCCCCATGCTCGTGCAGCAGTCCCTCCCAGTGTGGCGCTGCTACTCCCTCTCCCTCTCCATAGCTGGCAGGCAAGGCGGTGCCCCTCCCTCTTCCCCGGGCGGCGCTTCCTCTCTTCCCCGTGCGGCACTATCCCTCCCTCTCCCTCTCCACAGCCGGCAGGCAGGGCGGCGCCTCTCCCTATCCATCTCTAGTGATGGATCCGGCAAGGAGGAGTCCGCTAGTGGTGGATCCGGCGAGCCCGAGCCTGCCGGCGGCGGATCTGGCGCGGAGGAGTCCCCTCCTCTCCCGGCGGCGACGCTGTGGCTGGGGGCCATAGCCGTGCCCTTGCTCTATATCCGGCGGCGCTCCTCCCCTCTCCACCCTACCGGTAGCAGGCAGAAGGTTCTCGGCGGCGTGCGTCCTGATCCGGCAGCGTGGGGCCGGATCCCGGCGGCCAGAGACCGGATTCGGCGGCGGGCGACCAGATCTAGAGGCGGGTGAACGGATCCCGGTGGTCCAGCGAGGATGCGTCACCGGCGAGCAGCGGCGGCGGCGGCGCGTGGATGGGCTCGCTAGGCTTGTCAACGGGCTTTCTTATTTTTTTATTTGATTAAGGGGGGGGGGCAACCGCCTCCGTTACAGGCCTGATTAGCCGTGACCTTTCAACGGAGGTGGCCGCCTCGGTTAATGCTTTTTGCCCGTCTCGGTTAAGATTGCTATAGTAATGATGACCGTAGAGCTCCAGCGTGATCCTATCGTGCGGCAGTAGGGTGATGGGAGGTCGGCCGTGAAGCTCTAGCGAGACCCTACCGCACCGTAGCAAGGCGGCAGCGGCGGCGAGGGGTCGCAAGTTTCCCAAAAGCACGATCCATCCCCGCCACTGGCGGAGCTACAGGGTGGACAGGGTGGGCCATGGACCACCTTGTAGATTTGGCCCAAAGTGTAGTACCCCTCGGTATTTGGTCGTGGACTCTGCTAGGCTAGCCTAAATGCTTCTGCTACCGAATCCCGATCGAGCCTGAAAACGAAGTCCAAGCGACGTCCGCGTCTCCATGATCTGCACCTTGGTCTTCCGAGTTATGACTCCAACCGTCCAAACTCTGTATTTGCAGCAGCAGAGCAGCCGCCGGCCGCCCGGCAAGACGTCGGAGTTAGAGGCAAGGCTAGTAACGCACAACGTTGATCTTGATATCCTTTCTTCTTTACTCGAGTTCTATCACGTTTCTCTCTCTCTCTATCAAGTGATTAACCCCTAAATTGCTAAAGTGCTAACAGGAGATAATCATTTAATCAACAATTATGGGTACGTAATATTTAAATTCAATGTTAAGAAAGTTACACTCATCTATTTTATGAATTCTATATGCCTTTTTTTTAATTATGTTTTGTAATTCATAAAAAAAAATTAGACAATGACCCACCGTAGCTACGCCTCTTATCCCCGCATTTCCCAAAGGCACGACCCGCGCGCGATGTCGTCGTCCAGTTTTATACGCTGCGGCGTGTATGCAGGTTGGCTGGTTGGGCATGCAAGACTGCCCATAGCAGACAGTCGTCTGACTGCTGCTCACATGTTCACAGCTCTCGTTCGTTGACGATGCATGGATTCGTGTAGAGAAAGGAACCACCAGGACGTGCATGCATGCATGCCTGCATTTTCTGCGGTGTGCCATGCATGCGGCAGGCTGCTGACGGGCAGATGACGCTGCGAGCTCATCACGAGGAACCACGAGATCTCTGCCGGTCTGCCCTCCGGTCGCTAGGAAGAGCAACAGCCCCACAGGCCACAGCCCACGGGGCTGGTCGGCTGCACGCATGATGCATGTACTTCTTCATTGGCAAGCGTGCCGACCAACCGGCGATCGTTGCAGCCATCAGTACAAGTACATGCGCGAATGGATTTGGTGTTCGTACTAGACGCTGATCGATCGTATTCGATGACTACCGACCAAGCACAGGGGGTCGATCGATGATCGGCAAAAGGATGACAGAGCCACCGAAAGAGAAGAGTCGCCTGCACTAGGCGGGCGCAAAAGGCCGTAGGCTGCCCTTTGGAAACGATGTAATTCTTTCTATATGCACCAGCTATTGTGAAAAAATGGCATGACGAGAGATACTCCCCTCCTTCCTATAATACTTAACCTTTTTTGATTTCTATATACATATTTCACATTATTAGTTGTCATTCTCACTTCCTAATGCACCGTTTTCTTTTTCGATACATCTCTCTACTTCTATCTCTTTCTCTCTCATTCTCGTTTCCTATGCACTACACCTCAAATCCCTTGCAAATTAGTTGTTCGGGTTGATGCTGTTAAGTCCAACTAGTATATTAGATTTGTATGAAAATTTTGACTTTCAAAATATCATACTCCCTCTGTTCCAAATTATAAGTCACTTTGACATTTTTGGTTCACTCATTTTGCTATAGATCTAGATATATTATTATATTTAGATGCATAGTAAAATAGATGTACTAAAAAAGTCAAAGTGACTTATAATTTGGAACGGACGGAGTAACTTCAAATAGAATTTGTTGAATCCAAAATATTTCAAATAAAAAAGTTGTCAACTATAAAGCCATAGATCTCTTCCAGATATAGAACTTCCATATAAAGTTTGTCTTCATTTGGCTTCGTTTGAAAAGGCTGTAAATTTTACTGTGTTACTCCTATTTTTAGAGACGCCTCTAGATTTGGCCATCTCTACAAATCCATATGTAGAGGCGGTTAGATCCAGAATCGCCTTTAAATATAGGGGGCATTAGCAACGCTAGTTGAAAATACCAGTCGTCCCTACTATTGCATTTATAAAGACAGATTGGTTTAGAAACTATTTTTTGAGGCGGTTTTAGATTGAGTTGTTGCCTCTATTAAAAAAGGGAGATGCGGGTCTATAAATTTTTGTGGTGGTGGAAACTTGGCTAAGATCACTAGCTAGAAAAGTCATGGTCCAAGAACACAAGATCAGAAAAGTCTCAGTCTAATTTAAATTATACCAAAAACCCGTCGACCGTCCTGCTACAACTAGTGCCAACATTGTTTCAGACTTTCAGGGCCTGTTTGGTACCGTGGCCCGGCGGCCTGGCTGCGCTCTCCAGATGTAACTCCCGTGTTTGATGCCGTTTGCCCACTCGCGAGCCAAGCCAATCCGATGCAAAATCTCCTCTCTCATGGCTCTAGGGAAACGAAACCACCCCCCCCCCCCTAGCAAAGCTAGTTGAAAATACCGGTCATCCCTACAATTGCATTTATAAAGACAGATTGGTTTAAAAACCATTTTTTGAGGCGGTTTTAGATTGAGTTGTTGCCTCTATTAAAAAAGGGAGATGCGCCTCTATAAAATTTTGTGGTGGTGGAAACTTGGCTAAGATCACTAGCTAGAAAAGTCATGGTCCAAGAACACAAGATCAGAAAAAGTCTCAGTCTAATTTAAATTATACCAAAAAACCGCCGATCGTCCCGCTACAACTACAACTAGTGCCAACATTGTTTCAGACTTTCAGGGACCGTCCTGCTACAACTAGTGCCAACATTGTTTCAGACTTTCAGGGCCTGTTTGGTACCGTGGCCCGGCGGCCTGGCTGCGCTCTCCAGATGCAACTCCCGTGTTTGATGCCGTTTGCCCACTCGTGAGCCAAACCAATCCGCTGCAAAATCTCCTCTCTCTCCGGAAACGAACCCAGCCGGCGGAGCAGGCCCGAGAGGGAGCCCCCTGGCATGAGCTCCAGCGCCAGCGCTGCGAGCGCCTCCCCGGCCCTGGCGGCGGCCGACGACGGGATCACCGCGTGGAGGCGCACGACGTGAGGCGCGTCCGCGGCGAGCATGAGTATCTCGGCCTCGCGCGCCGCTGAGGTGTACAAAGCGCGGACCGCCGGTGCCGCGCCTTGTACACGGTGCCGCCGTTGCCGTGGCGGAGAACGGAGAGCCTCTCATAGCCCGAGAGCCGGGCGTCGGACGTGGAGGTGGAGGTGGACGGCGCGGCGGTGGGCTGAGGCTGCGGCGGCAGGCGCAGGGCGAAGTGGTCGAGCGGGAGGGTGAGGTGCGGCAGCTGGTGGCGCTGGCGGACGAGAGCCATTGGCTTGTTGGACTCTTGAGACAGCTGTGGGGTGAGGAGGAGGAGTTGCCGAGAGAGTTGAGGTGAGGAGGGGAGGCAAGCAGTGACACGAGAGTCGGGATGAACCAGCGCGTGGTGGAGCTCGCCATGCGCAGGGTGGCGCAGCTGGACGTGGGGGTTTACGAGGCCGTGGTCGCCGCGCCGCCGCCGCCCGGGTAGTACATGTGGTTCGTGGTGCACGCCGGCGTGCCCAGCAGCGCCGCGTGGGTGCGCATGCGACCGCTCGGACCAGCCCCCTCTCCGCGCCGCTTCCGGCCGCCTAGGTCGCGGGTTCTCCATGGCCGGCCGGCCAGATTCACAGGCTCGTGACGTCGTCCTCGTCGTCCTGCTCCTCATCCCTCACCGGTGTTGCTCCGCACCATGGCCATCCCAGCGCTGGACTAGCTCGCGCCCATCAACTCCTCGATGAAATGCAAGTCAGGACTTCTCTGGTGGTAAGGCTACCACGTTCCTGTGCAAGGAAGCCACAACTTCTTACAAACAGGATCTCCTCTCAGCTCGACTTTACAGAGACATGCAACCAAACACATCCACTTACACCGTTTGGACCGGACTTTGGTCGGCACCAGCCGGCCAGGCCAGCCAGATACATGCTACCAAACACGGCCTCAGAACCTTTCCGCACATGGATCCACGCAACAATTGCTGATACTGACTGAAGGAGACAACTACCTCTATCCGTACAAACTTTGTCGCGAATAATTCAAACGTACGCAACCTCCCATCAGTCATCCCCACAAAACCGACTGCATGGACACAACCAAGCCAGCCGAGTAAAGTGAAGATAGACACAAAACCGGTACGTGGAATCACCGCATGGACATGAATGGGGTCAGGTCCGTGAACAGAACTTGTGATCGAATCCCTAGAGACAAGCTTCATCTTAATTTGTAGGCGCCTCTTTGTAATAGCAAAGTTTATTTTATAGAACTGTAGAGGAAATGCCCACTACTGATTATATATATTATTAACTAGCAGACATGTTCGTACTTTGTCTGATTATTGATTGCTTTATGTATGTTGAGATGAATGGTTGAGAAAACTGAGCAATCTTTGTCATGTACGAGCTGTTGGACTGATGATTTCTGCGGCTGATAAGCCGGCTGAAGTTAATTTGTTGTGAGAGAAAAACACTGTACCATGGCTGATAAGCCAGAGTGATAAGTCCAAGTCCTCAATCCATGTCACATATAGTGCGTTACAACCATGCACTACTGGATTCAGGCGCTTTGCCGAGTGCCTGCGGCACTCGGCAAAGCCCTAAATACACTCGGCAAAGACTTTGCCGAGTGCCGCACTCGGCAAAGGCCACTTGAGAAAAAAATGGCCGGCAAAGCAGCCTTTGTCGAGAGCCATTTGTCGGGTACTCGGCAAAGCTTTTGCCGAGTGCCGAGACAGCACTCGGCAAAGAAAACGAGCCGTCACGGCGCAGGAAACGGTGACGGCGGCTTTGCCGAGTGCCAACCCGGATGGCACTCGGCAAAGTTTTTCATTTTTTTTAAATTCTTTGTCGAGCGCCGCCCGGGCTGGCACTCGGCAAAGTTTTTTATTTTTATTTTTTAAAAAAATTCTTTGCCGAGCGCCGCCCGGGATGGCACTCAGCAAAGTTTTTTATTTTTTTTAAAATTTCTTTTCCGAGCGCCGGCCGGGTGGCTCTCGGCAAAGTTTTTTATTTTTTTTTAAAAAAAATCTTTGTCGAGTGCCGGATGGGTGGCACTCGGCAAAGTTTTTTATTTTTTGCCGGCGGGCGAAGGCGGTGGGGGCACGCCGACGGGGGGGCGCGCCGAAGGGTGAGCGGGCGGGGCATGCGCGGGGCGGGGCGGGACGGCGGCGCGCGTGTGTGCGTGTGTGGGAGGGAGGGAGGTAACTGTTGGGTGGCCGGTTTGTCCAAGTGTGGATGGGCCATTTGCCGAGTGCCCCGATCTGGCACTCGGGCTGCCGGTTTGCCGAGTGCCAGATCGGGGCACTCGGCAAACGTGTTTTCCTTTTTTTTAACTAAACCCTAAACCACACTGCATCGTATTTTTTTAAAAAAAATACCACTTTGCCGAGTGCCGGACAGAGAGGCACTCGGCAAACATTTTTAAAAAAAATTGGCACGCTCTTTGCCGAGTGTCCCCACGGACACTCGGCAAAGGGAACACTTTGCCGAGTGCCGGACGGAGAGGCACTCGGCAAACATTTTTAAAACGCAAAGGGAACACTTTGCCGAGTGCCTGGCAGCTGGCACTCGGCAAATAGCATGGTTGCCTAGTGTCAAAAGATGACACTCGGCAAACCAATTTTTTTTGTATTTTGACCTCCAAACTTTTTCTGTAGTACTCTTACAGTACTTGGTACTCCATGTCGAAATTTGGTACATTTTTCGAATTGTTTGCTATATTTAGTTAATTTATTTCATTTAATTGAATATTTTTGGAAAATGCAAATTTGAACTGCACGTGCATCGAATAATGGAATTTAATAATTCAAAAAATGATATTCATAGTATTGAGTGTAGTGTGAGGCCGTATCCAAGAACGGACCCGAAATTTCGAACATCTTGTTCACGAAACATGACCACGAACTTGCGAATGAATTGTTTTTAAATTCTATAAAATGCAAATGAAGTCCGAAAATCATGAAACTTGTCGAGATGTCATGATATCGTATGTGGAGGATGTGATAAAAATTTGAGAAGGTTTGGTGCACGTTATCACGTACAATGATTACAAACCAGCACATCTCCACATGTGATATCAATAAGATGTTCGAAATTTCGGGTCTGTTCCTGGATACGGCCTCACACTACACTCAATACCTTGAATATCAGTTTTTGAATCATTAAATTCCATTATTCGATGCGCGTGTAGTTCAAATTTGCATTTTTCGAAGAAATTCAATTAAATGAAATAAATTAACTAAATATAGCAAAAAGCCATAAAAATGTACCAAATTTTAACATGGAGTCTCATGTACTGTAGGAGGACTCGAGAAAAATTTTGGAGTTCAAAAGTGGAAAAAAAATAGTTTGCCGTTATTCTTTACCGAGTGTCAGGCTCTGGCACTTGGCAAACCTGGACGGCAGGCGGCGGCCGTTACCTGACGCCGCTTTTTGCCGAGCGCCAGGGTTTGTCGAGGGCCTGACACTCGGCAAAAAGGGCCTTTGCCGAGTGCCTGACACTCGGCAAAGCCTTCTTTGCCGAGTGTATATCGTTGCCGAGTGCGGCACTCGGCAAAATAGCTTTTTGCCGACTGCCCGACTTTTAGCCCTCGGCAAAGAAAGTTGCACTCGGCGAAGGCCCAGTTTCCCGTAGTGATGTTTATTTGTTACACGGTTGTTAATTGGATGGAAAATCTAATAAATACTATTTGTTTCATTATTTTTCCTTCTCAATTTATCTATCACATGTATTGCCCGTGTTTTCGACCTGTCCAAGCATGGCATGGCCTGGTACCATGTGTGTGCTTGGGCCGTCCTTGACACGTTGCCAGCATGGCACGACTAATTTGAACTTGCCGGCTTGCTAAAGTCCCACTATCATGAGAGCCTAGCAACACAAAGAATCTCAAACCCTTGTCCTCTCCCCCTTCCCTTGTCCGGCTCCTCACAGTCATCCTGCTCCCTATAGTCACGTGGACCCCTTCTCCTTCAGCCGCCTAGCCCCAACCTCTGTGCCCTTCCCCTCCTCCCCTAGCACTAGCCACCACCACAGGACCACAGCTCCACACCTAAACCTCGATCCTGGCAACGGTAACAACTTCTCCTTCTCCCCCTCTGGCTTCCCTGGCTAGCAATGGCAGCAAAAGATATCCATTCCCACCACACACGACCATGCGCAGAGTAGCCACGACGTAGGGTGGAGGGTCGGCATGCGGGGAAACTCCGATCCCCTTTGACGCATGTCTCTCTTCCTTATATTAGGTGATGTTTGGGTTGGTTCTTTTTTGGTGTGACCCAATCATGGCGTCATTAGAACGTTTGTTGTTGTTTGTTTGGCGTACCAAGCAAACACATGCCACGGAAATAGATCCGGCCCTTCAATGAACCGATCATGCCTAATCCAATGACAGTAGTCGATTGCACTCGCATCTAGCAACTGCTTTCCTGTTGTCAGTTGTCACAGCTGGACCAAACAAAAAGCGCAATAGTTGATTCCCTTCTCGTTGCCGCTAGGTAGCTGTTTCCATAGCATTAATGTTGCTGGTGGTGCAACCAAACAGCACCTTAGATACATCATCCAATGTATACATCAGTTGATGACGGAATTGTAGCAAACAAGATTGTTCATGGTTTTTTCATAGTGTGAGAGCATACTTCTAATAGTAATATATTTATTACATAGTAGGATGTAAACGTAGTTACTATAGAGCAAAACTATGTAACATATATCTAGGGATTGTGATTTAGAAGATACATAAGATGACAATACACCATTTTGCCCTAATAACAACCATGGAAAACTTATATTTAATCTAGAGCTCCTACTCAAGAAATAGGACTATTATTTGTTGAGAGTGCCCTTAGAGAACAATCAAAGATCGAGTGTGTACTATGTAAAGCCATACATAAGGTGTAGATGATGGGTGGAGAGAAGAGATGATCGAAACCAATATGTGTATATAGTCTTCTCAAAATCAAACTGGTAAAGATAGCCACACACAGCGAAGAATACGTATATAATCATATTTGTAGTAGTGTATATAATCTTATTTGTAGTAGTGTTGGATCGGAAGGAAAAGCATTGATAAGCTCAGTGGCCTCATAACCTGAGGGACAAGGTCCAGCTCGTCGGTGCGACGAAGCCGCACTCCGACAAGCTGCTTACACTACCGGATTCAGGAACTTTGCCGAGTGCCAGGGGCACTCGGTGAAAACCGAAAAACACTCGGCAAAGGGTTTGCCGAGTGTTACACTCGGCAAACGACACTCGACAAACCCTTTTACGGCAAACACTTGTTTGCCGAGTGTTTTTTGTCGTGCACTCGGCAAAGACGTTGCCGAGTGCCCAAAAAACACTCGGCAAATATTTTCGGCAAAAAATAAAAAAAAACAATTGCCACCATCGGCCGCCGCCCACCACGGTTGCCACCGGCCGCCTCCTCCTCCAGCGCCCAGATCCGCCACCATGCCGCCGCCAGCACACCCACGCCCAGATCTGCGCTGCTGCCCCTGCACGCGGCCAGGAGCGGCCACCTCGCCAGCGGATCTGACCACCACGGTGGCAGATCCGCCTGGATACGCCGCCGGAGATTGCGCCTGCCCTGGATCCGCTGCCGGAGGACGAGCCCGCCCTGGA